ATATTTAAAATGAGATGTTTATCATGTATTTGATTGTGTTTATTTGCAGTTAGTTACACGAATTCAGATATGGAATGAAATCGGATAGGGATGAACGGGTTTAAGAGTTTTTAAGAGTTTAAGAGTTTAAGAGTTTAAGAGTTTTAAGAGTTTAAGAGTTTTTAAGAGTTTTAGTCAAATGCTTTATAATATAGTATAGATATTAAAATTCAATATTACAAATTATTATCACATACACACAATTTATAAAAACTAGACATTTTTTTTAAATTAATTGATAAACATGTTCAAATACAATATAAATGTCAACTCATACTAAGGGGCAATTTATCAATACTTACCCGGGTAAGTGCTTGCTTACCAGTAAAATCTAAAACTATTAGTTACTTATCGAGTAAGATCTTAGTCTACCAAAACGGTATTGTATGCAACAATTAACCCGATAAATGTTAAAATAATATTTTTACGAAATTGTTTACAATTGGTCACCTTTTTTTTTGCATATTATGTCTTGTATGTTATGAAGAGAGAGAAGATAAAATATAAAAGAGATGATGGAGAGATGGAGAAAAATATAGGATAGATGAGAGAGAGAGAGAGAGAGAGAGAGGAATAAAATTTTAATTTATATTAAATCAACTATTTTTATTAAATTCGATCTTACGGATTTCATCAATTGGAGGGTTTAAAAAAAACAATGTGGTACATATATACATATATGTATATATATATGCTTGGGATCACGTGAGACCCGTGAGATCATTTTTTAACACTTGAAATTTCACCGCAAAACGTTATGAATGCGACATTCATTTTTTTCTAATGTGAATGTTCGGGTTTTTTTTTACGTTCACAACATTTTACTATAAAGTTTCAAGTATAAAAAAATGGTTTCACTAGTCTTATAAAAACATATTGTTGTCGTAAATGATTGGTTTTTAAGACCTACAAAATATATATATATAAAGTACAATAACAATTAAAATGTATAAACAATAATAAAGGGTGTTTGGACGTAATATAAAAATGATTTTTATTTTTAAAATTAAAATAATTATACATAATATAAAAGGATGTTTATAATGATAGAATTAACCCCATCTAAATATTAATATTTATTTTTTATCATATTTTACAAATAGTAATAATAACTTCGGGAAATATATTCGAAAACAAAAATAATTTACATCTGGTGTAACAAATATTTATGTTTTTCAAATTGATCTAACAAAATTGTGGAATGAGTATGAAAAAACGGAGTTGAAAATAAGGTCGAGATGGCTACACAAGTTGCAGCTGATGATAGTATCATAAACAACCGATCATATCAAATGTAAGACACATGGTGATTAGAGTTGTTCATGGGCGGGACGACTCGTTAGATCCAACCCATTTAGCCTGCTAAAATACAAGATTGGACAACCGTTATCGAGAAAATAGACGGACCTGAGTTTTTTTTTAAAATTAACTGGCATATATGGACAATGTAAAAATATTTATGGACATACTGCCCAACTTGCTTATATTTTATAGTTAATATTTTTGTACCATTAATTAAAATTTTACATATATTAATATATTTTAAAATTAAATTATTAAAGTTATAGGATGAGACTCTTTGATTTTCTTGATAACCTAAAAGGCCAGTGAGTTGTTTGTTAACTCTTAATGTGAATATTAATGTCATATATAAATAACTAGAAGAGTACTTGCGTAATGCAGCGAGATACATATTGATTTTAATATTTTATTTTATTCTTTATCTCAGTAGATGTTAGAATATGATTTTACGTGATTTTGAAAAAAACAATGATGTTTTTATTTTTGAATAAAATATATCGATATAGAGTATCAAATTAACTATTTAAAATTCTTCATTTTTGTGTATTTTTTTAATTCAATTTTTTTATTATAATTTAATTTATGTTCAATAACGAAGTAATTTATATTTGGTTTAATAATATATTTTTCTCATACAGATAATAATTAATTATTTTGTTAGAACTCGATAATTATCTTAATTATATTTAGGATTTTTATATTTTAAAATGAGATGTTTATTTTCCATTTAATTATGTTTATCCGTAGTTAGTTACACAAATTCAATCATGGAACTTTAATAAGTTGTACTTATGTATAAATTACTTCTAATATTAAATTTTAAGTAATATGCATTAATATACAGTACTCCATGCATAAAAAATGATTTTTAAGAGTTTTTATCAAATGCTTTATAATATAGCATAGATAAGAATGCATAATTGATTTTATGGAAGTCTGAATTTTGTTTTTTATTTCTTTCTCCACTTGTTGAGATCCATATGTCACTTAGTTGTTTAAAATTTTAATTGCAACGATGTTTTTTCTTTACTTTTTTGTTTAACATTTGTTAATTAATTGTCAGTTATCAAGTTTATAGATTTATAAGAGTTACAATTTTTAGGCCCATTAGCCTGTGGGCAAGACCGACTCGTTTATAAGACGGGCAATGGCGAATTGTCAAGTCCGAAAAAAAAAACCCTTGGGTTCACAATATTAGACCCGTTGGACAAAAAAACAAGTTAGGCCCGACTCAGACCTAAACCAAGCCCGTAAATGATCATCTCTAATTTTGATAATGCAAACTGTAATCCACTACTTGATCATACCAAATGTCAAATAGGACTAAGGAACATGTCGTTGATGCAAAAGTTTGATAATGATACATTTTGATTGTAAGATTTATGAACATACAAACATATAAGATGCATAATGTGATATCTTTTTGTGAAACAATGAAAATAATTAAAATGCACATTATGATACATTTCATAAAACAAAGAAAATACATTGTGATACATGTGAAACATTGTGAACGTTATCATTATGATACATTTTGATTTACAAACGTCTTTAAAATACAATGTATATTAGGTAATTGATATATTAGGTAACTAATTTTAATTAAATATTTTATTCTAAAAAATTAATTAAATATTTTGATTGGTTGTCAAAAATAGAATTACTATATTACCTTTTTAGTTTATTTAAGAAATATTTTTAAATATTTCAAATGAATGGTTCGTATTAAATCTCACGATTATTACAAACTAATCAGTTATTCTTTAAATGGCCCTATATATATATTAAAAATTATATTGATAAAAATGACATCTTTCTCTTTAACGTTTTCATTCGGTATTTTACACGTGATGTAAATTTGCGAAAAGCTCAAGTAGGCCCTAATTATATGATGTTAAAAAGGCTGCCAACACGTAATGTCACAATAATTTTTCCCGCTACTTTTTACGTACCCTTTTCCTTTTTGGCGGCAAAAGTTCTTCAATGGAGGATGCATTTTCATGGTGAAATTCGTCTCCGTCGTCGCAATCTCTTCGAACTACGGCCATGAATTCGAGAGACCTCACTCTGATCTCTACCGCTACCATAGCCGGTGCCCTCGTCTCTGCAATCGCAATCCGTTTCTTAGTGAACCCTAGGAAGAAGTTGTCCGCCGCCTCAACCTCTAGTTCAGATGCCGTGCTACGGAGGAAGTCATCTTCCGATGATCCTTACGATCCATCCAAACGCAACGGGTAAAGTTAACTTAGTTCTGAGATTGTTCTCTCTTGTTTCTCACTTCTCAGTGAAAGCCATGGTTGAACGGCATCCTGTTTATCGCCTGTGTTTCAAACTGATATTAACAGAGAACATGTATTAATTTTAACGCAGATACTTGTCATGGGATGACTATTTTATGGCAATCGCATTTCTTTCAGCTGAGAGATCCAAGGATCCTAACAGGCAGGTTGAATTTTTGCTCTTTATCGATATAGATCTTGTAGTTATTTCTTGTATATAAACTTTCAAGCTAAAGTTTGTTACTGTTTTGGTCTCTAATTTACATTTCATTATGAAAAGCCAACCTAGCCGATACAAAATTCAAAATAGACGAACAATTTGAATTGTAACCCCACTTGTCTTCAGCTTACCTTTTTTAAGCTTAACGTTGTTACTCATTTGGTACTGAAATTTTTAAAATAATATATGAACTTCTTTTTTGGACGGAAGCATCCATGTAGAGATGGAAATTTCACTTTGGGGATCGATACCACCACTAGTACTCGATCCTAACATGGCTTGATTCCCTGATTTGGCAGGTAACGGGGGAGGGACAGATTTATTTTCATATCCGAAGTGGGTCGGGATGACATTACCCGCTTCTAACCGACTGGATTAAACTTTTATTTTTGAACTAATCTATATACATGTGCATGTATGTATATATTTATATATCTTTATTATTAGATAAGAAATATATTTGATTTTCAATATTGGTAATTAGTTTAGTGATGATTCATTGTAATTTTTATTTTAAAATACAATATCTTTTTATTGTTTTTTACTAAATGGGTATCCAATGGGTTCCCAAATCCCTTGGGGATTCCATCCCAGTGTTTAGTTGAGGTCTGTCTCGGGGACGGGGGCTTAAACTGGGGTCAGAGTTTGGAATGGAGGATGCATTACCCGCCCCGTTTCCATCTCTCATCCATGTCTAAGATGAGGAAGTGGGTATCAAAGTCTTAATGGTAAACCAAATTTCTTTTAGTTTTCTTATTTGGTGCATCGAGTTGGCTATCTTCAAGTGGTGATCATCTTACAAGATGAGCAGATTACAAAAGAATTTGTTTGTATGCACATAGTATACTTCTGGATGGTCTTGTTAATTTGAATTGTTTTGCTTCAGTGTTGGTGTATTGCTAATTTTGCACTATCTTTCATTGTAGGTTGGAGCATGCTTGGTGAGTCAAGATGGTATAATACTCGGTAAGAATTTCTGGAGGAATGTTATATTCCAAGTATCATGTAGCTCTGCAATATAAGTATTTTTCTCATGAATGGTGTTGGGGGTGTTGTATATCTGTCTGTGGGCTTGTTTGTTAGCAGCTTAATGATATAGAAATTGGCTTCTTCCGTTAGCTATATATGACTGTTTGGCAGTGGCTTATTCATTAAGCTTATAGGGGAGAGCTGTATGCAGAAAGCCAAGTTTTTTTCAAAACTGCCCCTCCCAATTAAAAAACATGGTCCTTCTATTTATAAAAAACTTTTTTAAACAAAAACCTTCCCAATATATGTAGACAAGATTAATCCACACATACAGTTTTATTCATATAGAACTTGATGGAAAACCAACCAAATAGCCACTCCGTATGTATTGCGTGCATTCATTGGATACACCTTGACTTATGTTTTAGTTATTTCAACTTTATAAAATGCAGCACCTGATCACTCAATATGCTCATGAACTGCTTGTAATATTTTGGAGAATTGCAAGAATGCGATTATGCTTAACAAATGAAACCATTTCTTAGTACATACATGAAATGATTAAGTTATAACAACAGAGATATATGATCATGCAAGATGAATGGATGCTATTAGAAATTGTGTGTATAAATCGAAGGATATATGGATACAAATAAAGATCTTAAAGACATGAGAATAACCATCCTTAAAAAAATTATTAGCCCCCACCATTTACACTGATGGTTACCCGGCTAAATTCTTTCAGGAATCACTTTGAGATAGAATTTTATGCAGTGCAAATAAAATTCTCCATGAACATCAAGGAAATATTTATTTTGAGAGTATATATTTATGGAAACTCATACTCTTACAATCTAATGTTAAGGAATATATATAGATGCCACTGTAACCACATCTGCCACCAAAAAGATCAATTAGTAATGCATTTCCTGCCGATTGTACATGCCAATTTCAGAAAACAGAAATTTCAGTGAATATCAAACATGATCGAGCCTTTAAAATAACGCGATCGCGAATGCCAAAACTTCTTGAAATCTTTTTTATTTGAGTTTCATGTTTCCACCGATTCTGGTACACCATATAAAGCAACTGTCAAAACAAACATTGTTAATGAGACCACACTTCAATAGAAGTATTACTAGCTTTTGTCATCATGTTACTGTCTTTGTTTGACTCTTTCTATGACATGTATATTTTTGACCGATAAACAGGCATAGGCTATAACGGGTTTCCACGCGGCTGTTCTGATGACAAACTCCCATGGTCAAAAGTTGGTATTCAAAATCTATTTCCGATAAATTCCGTAATTGATTGGTTGTCACTAATCTTATTTCTTATTTTAGAAATCTAAGAATGGGAATCCATTGGAGACAAAGTATCCGTAAGTGATTAATTACCATCTTACGAACTCTATTTAGTAATTACAAGTTTCTTACTTGCTGATCTGAAGTTGATACATACTTACTAGTTGGGAAACAATCTTGTTATTTTAATCACCACCTTTCTTTATGCATCAATCAAAATTTCTGCCTTTGCAGTTATGTTTGCCACGCTGAAGTTAACTGCATCCTGAATAGAAATCATGCATCTGCTGCAGGGCAGGTTGGTCCAGTATTTCTTTAGTAAATTTTCACTTTTCCTGCATCATCTTCTTGTCCGTGCGTCTAGGTGCATATTTTGTCCCATGAATAGTAAGGGGTTAGTTTGGTTGGTTTTCCATTAAATCCTGTGGATAAATTTGTCTGTGGATTAGGTGCCATTTACTAATCACTTACCTTGGTAAGTGCTTACTGGTTATAATTACCTTACCAGGTGAACACAACAAGGACCAAGAATCTCATTGGCAATGATCGAGAGTCTTACCTTGTGAGGGTGATGACTCTTACCTGGTAAGCGTTTATCAGGTTATAAACACTTACCATCAATCCATTTTGATAGCAAAAAATGTTACCACATAAGGTAAGTGAGAGTGATAACTCTTGCTGGTAAGTGTTTAACCAGATAAGCATTTGGTAAACAACCCCTTAATCTGTCTGTATAGATTAAGAAGACTTTTGTTTGGCAGAGTTTTTTCATAGATGGAATATATTTTCAAAAATTTGGCCTCCTGCATAAAGTTCCCTCCTAGAAGCTTACTGAATAAGCCACTTTATATATCATTAAGCCGCTACCAAAAGCTACGAGTGCCATTAAGCTCATTAAGCTGCTAACAAACAGCCTCTAAGGCAAGACTGAATATATTTGCAAAAACATCATAGTTTTTACCCTTTTTGGGATTTTGTTGCTATGTTTTATTAGGATATTAAGACGCATGCCTTGTTCTTATAAATATGCAGAAGCTTTATGTAACAATGTTCCCTTGCAATGAGTGCGCAAAAGTTATCATTCAGGTGAATTTGTACCCCTTCCCTTCCCTTCCCTTTCACATGTATCTTTCTCCTTGTGGTCTTTGTTGCATATAAGGCTGAATCGAACCCCTGAACCTTTATATCACAGTCTGGGGTTTCTGAAGTTGTCTATTTTGTGGAGAAGAGTTTGGAGAATAATGTTACTTATGTTGCTTCTCACAAGCTTCTATCAATGGCAGGCATAAAAGTAAGTTCTTTCATGTTGAGAACCTTTTCTCTAACCCCCCAAGCCCAAAATAACCGGCTGGTTCAATAACTTCAAATCCAATTTAAAGCCATGATGAAAGTTATTGGTAGCCCAAGCTTTGAGCCTTTAGGGTGCTTTGGTACACAAGACAGAACAAAATAGAACAGGGATTATTGTTCCACGTTTGGCCGGACTTTTATGTGGAACATAGTGGAACACGCATGTCCCAACTCCACCCCATGAAGCAAGGTGGACCTGACCTGTATGTTACCAATATAACCTTAAATCAAAATATATAAAATGTAAAACAACTTATTAGGGGTAATTTGGTCATTTTATCTGTTTTGTCTTACCAAACGCTTAACATTGTTCTGTCATGTTTGAATACCAAACGCACCCATAAGGAGCTAACAAATCTACTTCTCTATTCATGTGGGACCACCTGTTACAAACTTTCCCACTTAAACTTTTGATGACCTCGTTAGGCCTGCCCATAATCTCCCTCGTAATCGGTGATGTGGGATTCGTCTAAGAGGTTTCCCCCATTCATATTTGATTAAATGTTGCATTTGTTGATCATTTTGAAGGTTAGAAGACATGAGCCAAAGATGAATCAAATTTTACTCAGATTTTGTGAGACTTAGAAGCTTCGTTCATGGCGTGGGCTTACGTAGATACTTAACTCAAGTGAGTCCCTTAAACGGTTGGTCTTTTTTCCAACATATTGTGTGCGCCTTCCCCTTTTACCGTACGATAACCCAACAACTGTTATCTGGTTCTTGGGTTGTAAGATTTATAGACAACGATTTGAAATGTGTATCGGTCTTAAAACAATAATTAGCATCATGCTGGAGTCCTTTTAAGAGTGTTAATTCTGATACCATGTAAGAATATATGGAACCCTGTGAAAAATTATTTAAGTTCAATAATGTTTGAATTTAAACTTATTTAAGTCTAGACGAAGGATCGTGTGCTGATAGGAGTTAAAATTTGATCACTTTTAACCTCACCTCCACTCCATGAATTGCACTTATCACGGGAATTGTTTCGGTCCCTGTGGTTTACAATTCTTTGCTGTTTTAGTCCCTTCTACTTAAAGTTAGGAGTTAGTCTATGGATGAAATAGCAATAAATTGTAAACCCTAAGGACGAAAGTCGAAATCATTAACAAACCACAAAGACATGACTCATAATTTACTCTTTTGTATATGGTAAAACTCGCACATTTTTCATTTTTGGTGAGGTTTGAATCGAGACGGGAAGAACGTGGGAATGGCACTCGTTGCATAATGGGATGGTGGAATGAAAAACATGAAAATAAGAAAAGACAAAATTGATAAAAACTTTTAAATAATTTATTCATATGTGAATTATTGGCAAGACTTGGGATCACGTGAGACCAGTCTGTTTTTGTGAGACTCGTGAGACCACATTTTTACACTTGAAACTTCACAGCAAACCGCTGTGAAGGTAACCTATTTGTTCTCGTATGATCCCAAATAAGGTGGACTTATCAGGGGCTGATGTAGTTGCTCAACTGATTTTCGGAAGCAAATTTTTTTTGGGATATGACGGTGCACCTTGCTAAACTCTGTGTGATGCTTCGAGATATCAGAAAATATAAGAAACATACTAAAAAACCAAAAAGTTCTTCGAAATCAACCAAAAGGTAGGGAAAAAAAACTCAAAGTCATAAAAAAAAAATACTTTAAAAGATCGTTTGAGATCAACCAAAAACACTTCCCCCAAAACGGTGCAATTTAGCTTAAAACACATCAGGACAGCTTAAAGATACACTCATTCGACAAAAATCCCAAGTCTTTCCGTTGAACCAAAATGTCACTTTCTCTATTTATTTATTTTGATAATGGCAATTTACATTTTTGCCCTTTTCTTTTTGTAAAATACTTTTATTTTTGGCACATTACTATCATCACATGGTTTCATGCTAAAAAAAATAGTAAAACCCAAAAAAACATGGCTTGTGTTTTTCTAATTTAGGGTCCGTTTACCAAACACTTATCTGGTAAATGCTTATCAGGTAAAATTCAGCACTATAATTTACTTATTGGGTAAAATTTTAGTCAACAAAAACAGTATCGTATGCAACAATTTACCCAGTAAGCACTAACCATGATAATAGTCTCCGTCCTCACTTACCGGGTAAGACTCTTGGTCTTTGCCTTGCTCTTACCGGGTAATATTATTGGTTCTCACCATATTCAACGATAAGGTAATATGACTTGGTAAGCAATTACCTGAATAAGCGTTTGGTAAACGGTCCCTTAGTTTCGTAATATGAATAATTAATGATCATGATTTTAGCCCAAAACAACTGATTTTTGTAGTTAGTTAAAAACTCAGATAAACTAAACTATAAATAAAGGAATAAGCCTAAGCCTAAAAGGTTAATCAACTGATTTTTTAGATTTAGAGATCACCAGAAAATATAAAAAAAATATTTTCTTTCTTTTATATAAAACACATATCAGATTAGGGTTTTGGGGCTAGCACCCGATAGAGACAACACACGTTCGTCCGTGAATCTACATAGTGGAAATCTATTTTGATTTCTAAGCGCTCGTCAGAGCCAGTTAAGATACCTCACGGTTTGTTTCAAGATTCATTTTGGATGTCACTGGATCCAGTCAGGGTTTTTCTTTCTGGTAAAGTTTAATAAATAATCTAACCTAATATTTTTCCGTTACATTAAAAAATGTTACAAAATTGTTTTAGAAAAATCCTACAGATATAAACCAGTAACACAAGGACAAATCCAGAGATGGATAAAGGGTTACATCGAGAAAGGGTGTTGTAACGTTTTAATAGCACCTAATTGAAAATGATTCGTTAATGATTACTGATTACTTACATTTACAGTTTAATATTATCTTGAATCGTAAATTAGCTTCGACAACGAAACTTTCTGAACTTGACATGATACACAAAACGTTAGAGCACCAATAAGAATACGAAAAACTAATGGTTGTTTATGATACCCTTATGGGGTAAATGTTTACCGAATGAGTATGATAAGAACCAATAATTTTACCCTGTAAGAGACATAGCAAGGTTTCAGAATCTCATCCTGTAAATAAAGAAGAAAATACTTACCTAGTAAGTGTTTATTAAGTAAAACCGTAAAAAAAATACTTATAAATAATCCGTAAAAAATATAAATTTGAAATAATGATTAGGTATAATTTATTGATGTGTAATATCTTAAAATTCATGTTTACTATTTAGTACTAGAAGGGTACTCGCACAATGCAGTGAGATACATCTCGATTTTAATGTTTCGTTTTTTTTATCTCAATCGATGTTATAATACGGTTTTATGTGGTTTTGAGAAAGAGATAATGTTTTTATTTTTGAATAAAATATAAATATGAATATATCATAAGAAATTGAAAAGAAAATGATATTAGTATCAAATTAACTATTTAAAATTTATCTTTTTTATGTATTTTTCTTTAATTCATTTTTTTATTTTTAGTTTAGTAATATAATTTTTTTATAAAGATAATAATGAAGTATTTTGTTGCAACTTAATGATTATCCTAATTATATTTTAAATTTTTTATATTTAAAATAAGATATTTATCATCTATTTGATTATATTTATTTGCAGTTGGTTACATAAATTCAAGTATGAAACTTTAATAAATTGTACTTACGCATAATTTACTTGTAATCTTGAATTCTAAGTAATATGCATCAATAAACAGTACTTCATGCATAAAAGATAAGTTTTAAGAGTTTTTGTCAAATACTTTATAATATAGTATAGATTATAAGTACAATTTTTAAAAATACAACGCAACATACAAACTCTTCGTTGTACTACGATTTCCAAATGTGCCTGTTCCCCCTTCTTCCTTGTCATGATAAGTCTTTGAATTCGAATTTTGTAAAAAATTGACATTTAATTGAAATAAAATTAGAATTAATTAAATTGGCCCACAAGAAATCAAAGTGGGTGCGATATGATCGTTTTATCCAAAAAGATGGAGATGTTGATCATGTCTTTAAACGGTTATATTTTAAACAAAAAATTATAATCATATATATATATATAGAGGGAGAGATGGGTTCATGTGAGACAAGACTGTTTTTATGAGACACGATGTTTATATCTGAAACTTTACAACAAAATGTTGTGAAGGTAAAAAAGACGAATATTTACAGCAAAAACACTTTGAAGGTTACCTTCATAGTGTTTTGTTGTAAAATTTCAAGTGTAAAAATCGTGTATCATGAAAACAGTCTTGTCTCACATGATCTCAAGTTTATATATATATATATATATATATATATATATATATATATATATATATATATATATATATATACACACACACACACACACACACACACAAACACACATATACATATAGGGGTCGTTCAAGGAAGAACTGATTAGTTTATGGTAACCGTGAGATCTAATGTGAACCATTCATTTGAGATATTTAAGGATATTTCTTAAATAAGCTAAAAGAGTAATATAGTAATTCTATTTTTGACAACTAATCAAAATATTTAATTAAATTTTTTAGAAGGAAATATTTAATTAAAATTAGTTATCTAGTTACCTAATATACATTGTATATTAAAGACGTTTGCAAATCAAAGTGTATTATAGTGATAATGTTCACAATGTTTCACATGTATCACAATGTATTTTCTTTTATGATATGTATCATAGTGTGCATTTTCGTTATTTTTATTGCTTTACAAAGGATATCACATTGTGTGTCTTGTATGTGTATCTGAGTATCACAAAAAATATCGTTTCTAGATATATCCTGTGTTCACATAAGGTTTATCGGAATAACATTTGGCAAATAAAATTCGTCGGAGAGAGAAAAGAGGAGAGATGAGAGAAGATATTTATAAAATCTCTAAAATGCCCTTAATTAATATTTTAAGTTAAAATTACCAAAATTATTAATTTCATAATTTAATTTTTGATTTAAAAACACCAATGTGAGGGGACATTTTTTTGCCTCACTCGACGATTGAGGCTAGCTGGGATGAACTGGTGACCTGTTTTGTATTGGGTAAAGTCGTTCCACCCTTTGCCAACTAAACTACACGTCAGAGGCATATCAGTAATATTATTTTAATTAAATTAAAACATGATTCTATACATTTAACTTTCAATAACTGGTAGTGCTTAAAGATGTTAGTTCAAATCTGGAAAAAACGACTAATTTAAATTTTTGATAAAACATCAAATAAATAATTAAATCCTTTCTAAAGTCAACGGTTGATAACCTACGATGGCAATCTAAGGTGTCGTTTACCAAACGCTTACCAAGTCACTTTACCGGATGAATAGACAAGGACTAAAAATCTTACCCGGTAAGAACGAAGACAAAAATCGAGAGTCTTACCTGGTAAGTGAGAACGATGACCCTTACCATAGGGACCGAATTTGTAGTTTTACACTTGTACTATCTATTTTATCAAAATATGGCAACTTAAAAAACAAATCATATCAAAATTTATGACACAATTTATGATATTTATAAAATTAAATAAATAGACAAAAATATATTGCAATTTCTATAAATCGATTATAAGAAACAAAGATATAAATATATTATATAAAATCGTCATTAATTTGTTGATTAATTGTCTGTTTTTTCATATGTAAGGTTCTGTGTTTAATCTTTTATTGCAAAAGAATTTTATAAACATAATAAATCTGAAATTAAAAGCTAAAAACTAAGAGAATGACACGAATGGAATTCAAACTCGCGTCTGGAGTGGGAGAAAAGTCATGCAAACCAACTCTAGCAAAGGAAACCTGTGTCAACATTGTGATTTTCAAAATATATAAGATGATACACAACAAATTGATACTTTTCACGACTCTTTGATCTTTTCAACTAAACGGAGGAACAAAACGATGACCTGTATCACCATATGCACTCAATTGGGTCCGTC